TGTATCGGCAAGTACCAAAAATAAAAGTATCGTATCGGGCGAGTACTGGAAAAAGTGGTATCGGTACATCCCTAGTATTTATATATACATAATAAATATAATGCATTTTGTTTTTTGCACTTAATTTTGTTGCAACTCTCTAATTAATAGGCCTTTACTGTGTGCTCACTTTCTCCTTATCAATTTTCTGGAAATTGTACAAGCTCTAGCAATACAATTAGTTTTAAAAACATTTACTAAATGTCGAGCAACTACATTCTAGCTGTGTGAAATGACTTGCAAAGCTGCTTGATGCTGTTCAGTATTATTTCATAATGACCTCATGTGTATGTAAATGAATATCTGCATCTTCTATAATGTTCGCCACAGAGAACAGTCCTCTTCTGGCTAGATGTGAATGAATTAGCAAGCGTTCTCCGCTGACGTGCAGATTTGATCCCACCGTCCCCAATAGATCAGGGCACACGTTCTCCTCCGCTCTTGCTGTAGTCCTGCTGTGTAAGTGCTAGTAATTCCACCTCTCACTGTTTAATGTGTTGGACAGCTTTCACAAACAGCTGCTTGTGAATTTGTTCTTGTAGCACTTGTTTGAATATGCTCTGATAAGTGGGAATGAGTTACGCTGGTAATCTGTATCAACGACGCTGCAGTCCAAACTCTGAAAGTTCCTCCTACACTGCAGCGTAAAATGCTGAAATCACACTTCCGACACATTCTTTGTGTCCGTAATAGCATTTGAAGGTGAAAATAACCATTCTCTCAAGTCTCCAGTGGCAAATGTGACAAGTCAGGGCTTCATTGTACTTCCATAATTTAAAATTAAACTCTGAATGTTCCCTTGAAAGGCTCTGTCCTGATTCACCCTGCTGCGTGTTTTTCTTTCTGTATTTTTATCTCCACAGAACCAAAGACGGCCAGACGAGGAGACTCTGAATGTGACCCCCGGGCCCCTGTTGAAGGAGATGTCCCTGTGTCTGCTGGATCTGAAGGGCCTGTGCAGTGTCCTCACACAGAGAGCTCAAGGCAAAGAGCCCAACCTGGCCCTGCTGCTTGGCATCAAATGTAAATACTCATCCATAAGATAGAAAACTCTAGCCTTAGCAGCATATTATCTTTTTACAGTAGCCTTTAATAATCCAGAATAAACTTAGTGAGATATTATTTCAAAGTAAATTAGATACTAAATTCTGTTCATCCCTAGTAACTCAATTTATATTGCACTTTACCTTTAGTATTATTAATTTATTATTATTTAAATTTCATATTTTAGTTCTCACTTCATATTTAAATATTTTTAATTAAAAGTAGAACACTAAAATCAATTGTTTTAAATGCTGCAAGTCAAATTATGCATCACAATATTGTAATGTACAGAATGAAAAATGGATATTTGTTTTGAGATTTGGTAAAGATTATATTTAACGGTGTTTTAACATTAATGGTGGGTTTTTTTAAGTTTGGGGTCAATAAGTTCTTTTAAAGCTTCTATTCATCAAAAAATCGTGGAGAAAAATTATTTCACAGAAATAATCATTGATAAGATTTTAAACAGCAAATCAGCATATTAGAATGATTTCTGAAGAAACATGTGACACTGAAGACTGGAGTAATGATGCTGAATATTCAACTTTGTCATCAGTGGAATAAATTACATTTTAAAATATATTAAAATGTTATTATATTTACGATTGAATGCAGCCTTGGTGAGCACAAGAGATTGTTTAAAAAATATATATATATAAATCTTACTAACCTCAAACTTTTGAATAGCAGTGTATTATGTATTTAAAATAATTTTCTTAACTGTTAGCATGTTAACTGAAAACACAAATTTAATTTCATCCGTTTAGCTTTGCTAATATAAAGTGAAAAGCAATGTCATTTAAAAGGCATTAACATTTTCATAATTAAGAATAAATGCAGCACCAGATAAAGTACCCATATAAAAAGTCATAAACCAGCCAATAGAATGAAAATTCCCATGTGTGACACTTTTTTCCAGCTATGAGCTGCTCGGCGGAGGACATCGAGAAGCCGCTGATGGAGGACGGCTTGCAGGCCAAGCTGGTGGAGGTGTGCCAGCTGAGGAAAGACATTGACGAGCTGCGGACGCTCATCTCAGATCGTTACGCACAGGACATGGGCGAAAACTGCGTGACGCAATGAGGCATTTCCACCTTGTCAGGACAGACGGCGTTCCCAGAGCTCAAAGGGAAAATAAAGTCAACCTGTTGGTTGGACCAAGCTGTGAAGCCAGTTTACAAGGACGTCTTTACAACAAGTTTCTTGTTTAGTTTTTTCTTGTGGACGTTGAATTTTCAAGGAGTTTGAATATTTTATTGTATTTGTTGAGACTGCTTGAGGTCGGGATCCTCACGCTGTTCCTGTCAGTCGTCTTTGAGAGAAACAGAGCAACTGGTGTCCTAAAGTGCCTTGTGTTCCTGTTTGTGTACCTCCAAACTTCATGAACGTCAGGGAATTATTTTACCCAAAAGCAGCTGGTCCATCCGCTACAGGTCGCAGGTCGACGTTCAGGACCATCGAAAAACCGGTCAGGAACAGCAGCATTTGAAAAGTCCTTCATCACCAACATCCTGCATTTTGTGTGGTTTAGTATGTTTGAGCTTCCATAAAAACGAGCAATGTTCCATTTCAAAATAAATGACAGCAGAGGAATCCAGGTGAATCTATTCAAGATGCTGATGGACTATTTTTAATTGGAATAAAATATGAGCTGCTTTTTTAACTCGGTGGCACAGTTCGGTGTTGAGTTCCAAAGTCAGACAGGAAACGGAATGTTCTGCACTTCCTGTGACATGCGTATGACATTTTATATACTCCAGATAACAGGTATTTCTTCGAAATATGGACGAAATCAATGCAAAACTTGTTCACTCAGGTATTTCAAGAGTTTCTTTGAATTCTCCTGAATGCTCTCAGAAGGGATTTAAGTGTCATTAAGTTCATTTTGACCCCAAGCAGAATTGTTTTATAAAGTCCAGCGATGCGGTCATGTCAAGCTTTGCACCAAGGTGACGAATGTTTAAGATATTTACAGTACAAGCGTCTATATACGGCTTATGTATCGTGACTGTATTCTCATTGTATTTAAAGTATATTAAGCATGTTTTTAGGTGCTCATAATATCTTGTGCATAGGTTTAGAATTACTTTAAATAAAAAAAGAGGAGGGAATAGATAAAGGTAACTAATTAGATGCACGCTGCGCTATGCAACCTCACATTAACCAGCATTTATTATGCGTTTCTGCAGGTATGTAATATTATTCTGTGCCTTTACGAATCTATGCAGCAGAACCACAGTATGACATCGAAGGGTATTTATCATAACTGGCAGAGACAAGAAGTTTATTTCATAAATGCGCATGCGAGCAAAGCCATATTCACATGCAATGCTTATTTATTCTCAGGCAGAGAGCTGCTCATAACCAGATGGAGAATGGATGTGGTGCTCTTCATTGTGCATTAGAGGACAGCGTGACCGCTTGCTGAATTGTGTGTATGTATATATATATATATAAATACAAAAGCAACGTGCACTGGTTGACATGACCCACTCACTGCGCACTGAAAGCCACTGGTTGGCTTAACAGTATGTTTGAGTTTCTAATCAGTCTTTGAAATCTTAAGCTTTTAATTTTCCAGCTAGATTTTACAAATGCCAAAAGGTCTATTTATGTAAAAAAAAAAATTGTTAAAAGTATTAACTATTTTTCCATTTTGTAAACTGCTTTTCATTTGTACAAATGTCAAATAAAGTATTTTTCTACATCGGTTTGTTTAAATGTTTTTGCTAACAATAACAGTGATTTTAAAAATTGTGTAGATTAAATTTTTACAAATTTTTGAAATTTAAATTAAATTGATGCACATTCAAACCTTGGTGTAAACTGTATAGTGTGTGTGCATTTCATTTACATTTCTAAATCAAATGGTCAAAGTCTACTTCAGGTGCTTTGACCAATAAACTTTTTTTTTTTTTCTTTTTTTTTTAAAAAGACCGAAATTCAAATGAAAGCTTTTAAATAAATAAAAAAACCATTTCAGGCATCAAGTTGTTGCAGTTCACTTAAAAAGCCTTGCTATGTCAAATTAATTTACACATTTTTCAAAACTATATTCAACTATATAAAATGCATTCTCTCCGGAAACTAACTTTTTTTTTTTAAATGCACTGGGTTTCCAAAACTTAAGGAAAAACAGTAAGACTTAAGTGGAGCATAGAGGTGCTTTAATAAATCAGCAACCCTGCAGTCTACCGTGGTAAGATCAACCCAAGTAAAAAGTCACATGATAGTTACAATAAAAGCATCTCAAAAGGAGACGAGATCATTTGGCATGCTAAAACGATTATCTTTGTATGTGCACTGCATTTACTCAGACATAAATTGAGAAAATGATTTTGTGCACTAAAACCGGAGGACTGACAACTTAAAAAGTAAAGTTTTTTTTTTTTTTTTTTTTTTTTTTTTTTAAAAGACCGAAATTCAAATGAAAGCTTTTAAATAAATTTAAAAAACCATTTCAGGCATCAAGTTGTTGCAGTTCACTTAAAAAGCCTTGCTATGTCAAATTAATTTACACATTTTTCAAAACTATATTCAACTATATAAAATGCATTCTCTCCGGAAACTAACTTTTTTTTTTTAAATGCACTGGGTTTCCAAAACTTAAGGAAAAACAGTAAGACTTAAGTGGAGCATAGAGGTGCTTTAATAAATCAGCAACCCTGCAGTCTACCGTGGTAAGATCAACCCAAGTAAAAAGTCACATGATAGTTACAATAAAAGCATCTCAAAAGGAGACGAGATCATTTGGCATGCTAAAACGATTATCTTTGTATGTGCACTGCATTTACTCAGACATAAATTGAGAAAATGATTTTGTGCACTAAAACCGGAGGACTGACAACTTAAAAAGTAAAGGTTGCAAAAAAATAAGTCTAAAAATGGTCAATAAAAGCATCTCAAAAGGAGACGAGATCATTTGGCATGCTAAAACGATTATCTTTGTATGTGCACTGCATTTACTCAGACATAAATTGAGAATGAATGATTTTGTGCACTAAAACCGGAGGACTGACAACTTAAAAAGTAAAGGTTGCAAAAAAATAAGTCTAAAAATGGTTTTAAAAAAAATCAATCATAGGCATGTTATAAAAAGGCAGTTAAAACACTTAAAAGGTTTGTGTGAGTGTATGAGGTCAGGCCTGAAGCATGTTGAGATGGCTGAGACGGGCCTGAGCGCACTGCAGCACCATTCCCTTCAGCGCCTGCAGAAAGAGCTCCTGGCCAGAGTTCAGGTACAGCCACATGAGTCGACTCAGCTGCGCCGTCACACAGTCCCCGTGCAAACTCTGTTCAAACAAAACACACATGAATGTTTGATGGCCATCAGGAAACAAACCTTCACTTATTCATTCTTTTAAATGGCCAATTCAGATACAATATATACAGGAAGGTGACCGATATACACAACACAATTTCATGTTTTTATCTAATTCATATTTTAAACATTTAAACAACTACAAAATAGACAAAGAATTTTTCAAATGTAAATTAAGAATTTTATATACATTTCTTCTCAATATTTCTTACACATTACAATAAAAAGACAGGTTTGATTTTTGAATATTGAAGTTGCTTTAGTAAAAACAATTATAATATAAATAAATATTTTACTTTATTAATGTTTGCATTTTTATTTTCATACTACCGCACCTTAATCCTAAAATGCCACAGCATGGAAACAAAATGCAAGCATACATTATTATTATATACATAGTGTTATGTTATACATGTTTGAATTTTAATTATTTGTGTTTGTTTCATTCCATGGTACTTTAATATTATTTTTAATTCTTAAAAATGTTTGGATTTCCATGGTATGGAATGTCAATATTTAGTCCGTTTTGTTTTTAAATAAAAATAAGGGTTGCAAAAAGGTGGAAAATTTCCAGTACATTTCGGAAACATTCCAGAAATTTTGGAAACTTTCCAGGATTTCTTTGGAATATTCTAGGGATTTTTGGAAAGTTTCCCGAAAATGTCCACCCCTTTGCAACCCTAATATAAAATGCATATAAAAACATTTTATTGAAGATGTTTGTTCATTTGTATTTTTTTTGGATTAGTAAAAAAAAAATCTAAACCAGTATTTAATTTAAAATATTTTCTTTAAATACATAGAACTAAGCTAATGTTTAATTATTTTAGATAAAATTACAAATAAAATACAAGATTTTCATCTTATTTCCTTTAAATGAAATTTTAAAAAATAAGCTAACTTAATTTTTTACCTTTAAAAATTTATTTAATTTTATTTAAATTTGCTTATTTAAATACAAATGTATAAATAAAATTAAATACAATGCTATAAATTAAGCTGACTTTAGATAATAATTTATATTTAAATAAGTTATTTTACCAAAACTAATTTAACTTAAAGCAGCCTAACTCCAGCAGTGTGTAGAGCGATTCAGGCAGCAACTGTCTCGCCCAGCCGTTCTCCTCCAGATAAATCCAATCCCAGATCAGCCTCTTTCTGCGCAAGAAACCTTGAACGTGATCCAGGTACACTGAATTACCAGACACCAGATACAGCCTCAAAAAGAAGAAAAAAAACATTATATGCATGAGCTGGAAAACCATTATGAAAGCAGCTACACAAGGCAAGGCAAGTCTAATTATTTGGGGGGTTTTTTCATTAGCTTGGGAAATAAGACAACCTTTATTTAATAAGCCACAATGAGAATTAAAAACCAAAAACAATGTAATGGCTTTTGCGGGGAAAGTAATTTTCCAAGCACTTCTGAACAACAAGGCATTCATCTTTACAGTCTCTGGAGATGTGCTCCTGTATAATGACTGGTACAAACAAAACACCCTGGAAGAAAAAACTCTTAAGAAAACTCCATTTGTGCGCTGCAAACACACGCGCAGACATATAGCTCCTCAAATGTGGATTATTAGCTCAATTTAAAACCAGCCAAGCAGGACTGATGCTTTGAATGCTAATGATCAATTAGACAGATCAGATAGTAGGGAAGTCCTAAACTACAACAAATGTTATTTGCACAAAACTCTCAAAATAAAAAAAATAATAATAAATAAATATATACACACTTTAAAGTGCCATATAATTAAAATGCAAACGAACAATAAATTATTTGTATAAAACTGAAACGAATAATAAAAATGATTGCTGTGCGAAAGCATGAAGATAAAATAAACATTAATAAAACTAAAAAAATAAGTGTACATACAAGTTGCTTTTATTTATTATTATTATCGTTATCATCATCATCCTCCTCCATGCTATGGCACACATGCGTTAAAGTGCTATATCATTAATATAAAAATGCAAACAACATTAATAAAAATATTTGCAAGATGAAGTGCAAACATTAAAAAAAAAGGGGGAAAAATGTATTATCCATGCTATGGCAATTTAACATTCATTTTAATGTAAGTGGCATAGCACGAAATAAAATGCAAACAAACAAAAATACATTTCATTTTATTAGTGCATTTTCACTTTTCATGCTGTGGCCCTTAAATATTTTCGGTTTTCTTTTTTTTCTTATAAAGGCCACAGCATGAAAATATGATTTTTTTTAAAAATACAAATAAAACAAAATACAAAAAAATATATATATATATATTTTAAAGTGCCATAGCATGAAAATGTTTGTCCAGTATGGGTAAAAAGCGCTATAATATTCAGGTCTATATCACTTCAATCACTCACACATCTGCTTATGGAAGACGATCGGCCTCAAGGAACATCCCACTTAACTTGTGACACTACTGTTCTCTGATGCTGTGGGATCAGGCTGACTTTAGAGCATGCTCTTTGAGATCAGTCACCACACACTTCAGAGATGTCATCGACTGACTGCGGATCTCAGGCCGGAAGTTACTGCAGGCTATTTGTTTGAAGCTGCCAGCGCACTCTCCAGGCTTCAAAGCCCAGTCTGAAAGCCAACCACTGCTAAAGCTCAATGCTTTCACCACTCGTTTTTAATAGAAACGACAGCAATTCCAGTAATAGAGCAACATTTTACAGCCTAAAAATGGTGATCCTATGGGTACCAGCGAATAAGAGTGTCACTAATCTAACATGATAATTGTGAAAGAGCCTCATTAATGCTGCATCAGTTTGGATTTTTCACCATGTTATAAAAATAAGGTTTGCAAAGCAGTTGCTGTGTGCTGAAGACTATATTGCCATCAGTATTAGCACTGCATAAAATTAGGCTGCTTTAAGTTAAATTAGTTTTGGTAAAATAACTTATTTAAATATAAATTATTATCTAAAGTCAGCTTAATTTATAGCATTGTATTTAATTTTATTTATACATTTGTATTTAAATAAGCAAATTTAAATAAAATTAAATACATTTTTAAAGGTAAAAAATTAAGTTAGCTTATTTTTTTAAATTTCATTTAAAGGAAATAAGATGAAAATCTTGTATTTTATTTGTAATTTTATCTAAAATAATTAAACGTTAGCTTAGTTCTATGTATTTAAAGAAAATATTTTAAATTAAATACTGGTTTAGATTTTTTTTTACTAATCCAAAAAAAATACAAATGAACAAACATCTTCAACGAAGCCAACATTTTACATTAATGCCATCTTAATGCAAGACTTTATTTTAGATAAATACAACAATATTAGAAGGTTCAGATTTTTTTATATTTAAATACATGTCAGCTTGTATTTAAGATTTTTAGATAAACACACACAAAAAAAAAGAAAAAAAAAAAGATTAAGGTTAATATTTTTTTGTATTTAAATACATGTCAGCTCAAATTTAACTTTTTTTTTATATTATAAAATATTTTAAATTAAACATTTAACATTTATTTTTGTGTACCTAAATACAAATAAATTAAAATTAATCAATTAAATCAAGCTAGCATTATGCATTTAAACCAACAAAATTAATTTTAAATGTGTAAAAAAAAAATAAAAAAAAAATCTTTAATAAAATTAAATTAATCAATTACATTTTTTTTTTTCATTTCACCGAGTCATTTTTATTACATTATATGCCTAATTCTGTATTCTTGGGAGAAAGAGAGAAAGTCAGACAGACAGAGTAATCAAACAGACTCGAGCAGGACTGACTTGTAGTAGGGGAGCGACTCAATCATTTTCCAGTTGACATAATTTGCAGCCGTCTCCTCCAGCGTACAGACACAGGTCATCTGGACTTTGGCCACCTGCCAGAAGCGCTCGTGCTCGATGAGCGTCTCCTGCATCTCCCGTCTCAGCAGAAGATACACACCCTCCAGTGTGTCTTCATAAACCTGCCAATGACACATCGCTCCATCAGCAAACAATATTCCACCTGACCTTGCTCCTGAAAAACAGCATGCATGGGGGAACAAGACCAAACGTGCAGATTACTAAAAGTGCAAAAAAAGAAAAGAAAAAATATAAAACTGCACACAGTGCGCGGTCCAATTAGCATTAAAATACCTTAATACCCTAGTTGAAGACTATGCTGATATCAAGAATATAGGTTATGCAAAGCACATACATGAAACCCTGAAACGAAACGGACTACATTAACCTTTGTTGGAACACATAAAATGCATATTTGAATGTCTCTCTGGTCCTTTGTGTGTCCTTGAATGGTCACATGTGTTGTAAAACAGTGTATAACGGCAGGAGAGTTTGTATGCTCAGACGTGCGATGTAATTGAATGGGACATGCACCGATACGTCTAGAATCCATTAAGGCAGCCATTAGATAGGAGCGTCTGCTCACGCCGTGACCTGTGAAATCATTTTCCCTGGCTAATGAAATGCAGAAGATGAGCACTGTTGGAATATTTAAGATCACGTCCTCGGAGGAACTTATTTGGCATTTTTCAGATGGCGAAAAGAGATATCAGTTGGAACAGAACAAGGAACAATCATGTGTGAAGAAGACTTAGTCCCTGGAAAGACAGCATGTCAAATTTATTCAAACATCACAATGCACATCAGGGAGAGAGGACTTCATGTCAAAAGAAAAAAAAATGGTTTTAAAATTCAGACTGAAATATTGTTCAGTTTCCTGCATGTATTCCATAGACGTACCTTTCTTCGCTTCAGTCGGCCCCAGTCGCGGCCCAAGATCCAGGCCACGAGAGACTTGCACATGGAGAAGTAGTTTCCGACAGTCTGAATCCCTGATGGAACGAAACAAGTAGAGTCAGAACATGAGATGATACTCCAAGAGACTGGAGCAGTAACATTTGATCTACAGACGGATTTCCTGCTAAAGGACTGGTACAGGCATAATTCCTAAATATAGAGATTACTACACGAGACCGACAGAGAACACAAAACACCATCAAATACAGCAGGTTTTGCCTGACTCTTCAAGGGTTTGCAGATCAAGCCAGTTCTCCAGCAGAGGCTGACCAATAATAGATTTTGCAAAGGCCAGTAACAAAAGGTACAGGGGAAAAAAGCAGTTTTACAAATAATAGGCTAATAGTTTCCTTTATTTTTTTCTTAAGCGTTGTTGTAGTAGTAGTAGTAATAATAATAATAATAATAAATAAATAAATATAGTAATAATAATAATAATGACATATTGTTTACATAAAAGAAAAACAATAATAATAAATACATAATGGCATTTTGTTTACATTTAACAAAGCTAATAATAATAATAATAATAATAATAAATAAACACTTAAATGTTATTCAATAAATAAATAAATAAAAAGTAACTAATTTATTATTTAACGGTATGCAGTCAGTTTAAATAAAACTCTAAACTCTCGTTATTATTATTATTATTATCATCATCATCATCATCATCATCTTATTTTTATTATTAATTCAAAACAACAAAAATAAATTAAAACACTAATAATAATAAATAATAATACATAAAGCAACTAATTTACATAAAGTTGTGCAATCTGTTTACATAGGACATACTAAATTAACATTAATAATAATAATAATAATAATAATAAATTCAAAACACTTAAAATAATACTAAACAATAATAAATAACTTTTAAAAACAACATTATTATTAATTCAAAACAACAAAAATAAATTAAAACACTAATAATAATAAATAATAATACATAAAGCAACTAATTTACATAAAGTTGTGCAATCTGTTTACATAGGACATACTAAATTAACATTAATAATAATAATAATAATAATAATAATAATAAATTCAAAACACTTAAAATAATACTAAACAATAATAAATAACTTTTAAAAACAACAACAACAATAATAATAATAAAACTGCACTAATAATAATAATAATAATAATAACAACAATAATAATAATATTCAACTATTAAAATAATAATAAACACTAATAATAACTTTAGTATGTTAGTATGTTAACCGATTGCATAGCTTTATATAAATTACATTATTATTATTATTAATAATGCAATTTATATAAAGCTATGCAATCGGTTAACATACTAAAGTTATTATTATTATTATTATTAAAAAAACGTAAAAACTAAATTAATATTAATATTAAGAATTAATTAAAACATTAATAATAATAATAATGTAATTTATATAAAGCTATGCAATCGGTTAACATACTAAAGTTATTATTATTATTATTATTAAAAAAACGTAAAAACTAAATTAATATTAATATTAAGAATTAATTAAAACATTAATAATAATATAATAATAATAATAGCAATTGAATAAATCTTAATAAAAATCATCATCGTCACCTTTAAATTATTTACCACATAACTTAGAGGCTCTCATCTCCCCGGGCCAATCGGCCTCTCCAGTAGTCTTTGGTGATGGGGTGCAGGGAGGCCAGGTACCTCACATCACACAGTGTTTCACCCCACGTGGCCACCTTTCTCTTGCTGTGCTTCCTCCACTGCAGGAAAATTGATCGCAGCTGCTTGTTGTATGGAGCCGGCTGACGAAACAACCAATACATAAAGAGCCACTGGAACCTGCATTGGACGTACTGATGGTACATAGACTCCAGCTCTGTGTGTTCTGAAATCGGCGCATAAAATGGTTGTCAATGCCAACAATACTACAGACTGAAAGCTAATGCGCAGAAAACGTAGCACTGCAATAAAATGCATTCATAAATAAATCTGTACAATTACACCTTACAGAAGGAGCTCCAAAATTTCAGGTGGAAGTTTGAAAGACCTTTAGATCATCACTGACCAGGATGCACTACACCCTGTTCAAAGCTAACAGCTATAGAACATGGGCCTTGCCCCTTCATATACTAGAGTATTAAAAGAAACAGGAAATACCAGGTGAGGGTGAACTATGAGTCACAGACCTTCTTCAGACACATCACTACAAAAACCGTGTGTCATACCCCAACTTTCCCATCAAGGGTCCATCACAGCAGTTTGAAGTGATTCACCAGTGCAAAAAATTGGATTACTACATCTGAGCTGATCCGTGCTGGTCGCTGAGGAAATACATCAACTTAGTGCCGGATCGGCTTTCACCATGGACGAAGCCTGGGGTCGTCACATGTGCTTGCTGCTCCTTCGTCGGATCCGCCAGCTGCGCCGTTCTCAACCCTGCCGCCTCAGCTGATCCTGGGTTAGTAACGTTAGACTAAAATGCCGGCAGTTCTGACTCACAGACAGCTAGTACGTTTTCGTTTAAAGGATTTGCCACTGATGATTCAAACGACAAAATAATGTTCTTTTTAGCAGCATCATATGACCCCTTTAAGCTGCATTCAAAGACTGAATACAGCAAGAGCAAATGTCATTCGTAAAAGTTATTCAGTAACGTCTATCATAGGTAAAAAATAAAAAAAAATAAAAAAGTTACAGAACGCCGCGAATGATGTGCTTTGTCTTGTACGAGTCTCAGAATGGCGATGAGACTCGTACAAGACTCGCATCGTTCACGGTCTTATACATGGATTATCTGTCAGAGCACTCAATCACATTTGAGCCATTTTTGTTCACAAAGCTAAAATAAAATAACCCAAGGAAATTCTTAAACTGTATAATATGTTATAATTGTTTCTTATTTTCTCTATAACTTCCTCAGTGTCATGAATAGCATTTGAGTCAATCAGTTAGATATCAAACATTTATTCTGTGTCTATTTTTGCAAAACATTTAATTGCTGCGGAATACCATAAACAAAAACCAGCCGGCTATAAACTGGACTCGATTAAGAGCTGTTTGTGTGCAAAACAGAGCTGCGTGATTGATTTTGGATAAATTGAGACTTTTTTCAAATAAAGGTTTTAGTTCTATCACAATTCTGAAGAAAAAGATTACACAACTGAACAAAAGCTCATGGAATTTATGAATGGAATGATTCAATGACTCACTCAAGATTCACTTGTTTTATCACTGGATAAATCAGTGTTTTTGAATGAATCTCTTGAATGAATGATTCATAGGCAAATACATTTTTTTACAGCCACTTTTCGCCACCTAAAAAAATGAATAAATAAAAAATAAAAAAGATGCGCCGCACAGGAATTGATAGGTGGAACTGAAATTTTAATTTTACAACAAGTATCAGATTCCTGACCTAAGTATCTGATTCTGGAACTGATTTTTGATTCCCAACCATACCTATAACACGCTGTTCACTGTTCGCCAGGCTTAGGTATGTACAGAGCATAAAGTATGAATTAACGAATGTAAAAGATTCGACTCACTGTGATGAATCAAAAACCTAATTCCCACGCAAATCATACCTGGAAGTGTGTGGTCCACAGAGAGTTGCACGAACAAACTCGGAACAATAAGCTGCACGTGCTGCCGAGCCTCAGCAGCGACACTGGGTCCAAGTTCCTGAGTATAACCAGGAGAACTTCATCACTTAAATGCAATAAGCCCGTTGTGTTGTCGCTGCTTTCCGAAGTAATATCAGCTGTATTCAGATGGGGCTCCTCGTCTGTGGCGGCAGTCAGGCAGGAGAATTGCTCCAGCAACTCACGCTCCCAGGTCGCGCCGAGATCTGCCATACCTGTGCCGGTGTCACCGCGCTGCTTGCGGCCGCCTCTCAGGTGTTAAAGGTTAGGAAGAAACCACCTGAGAGAGGTCATAGGGAGGTACATCTCTAAGGAGTCGCTCATGAATAGTAGTAGCTCATGAATATAAATGAGGTCACGTCCGACGTTGCTTGGCAACATACCTGCTTAAACTAATTAACATTCATACGGCAAGCGTTTAATTCGCCAATCGGGTAGGCGTTCTTGGAACGTTACGTAATAAATATTCATAAGATAAACACTTCATTTCCCAACAGCAATGACAAAAACATTTATTAGCATCATTCACTCACCCTCAGCTTGTTCCAAATATGTGTGAGTTTCCTTCTTCTGTTGAACATATCAGAAGATATTTTAAAGAATGTGAGTGAACAAACAGTAGCTATTCCATAGTATTTGGAGAAAAAAAATACTTTGGAAGTCAATGGGGTAACACTTTACTTGAAGGGGTGTGCATAAGACTGACACATGTCATGAATATGAAGGAGGTTTTATGCATGTTTATGACAACTGTCATTAAGTGTCATTCGCTCAGTTATGTCATTTTTAATGCAAATATGACATTATTTGACCTACCCCTACCCTTACCCCTAACCATAGCCCATAACAAAGACATCTCAAACAATGTCATCTTTGCATTAAAAATTACATAACTGAGCGAATGACAGTTGTCATAAACATGCATAAAAAACCTTCATATTCATGACATGTGTCATGTCATGACTATGTAGGTGTCATGTCAGTCTTATGCACACCCCTTCAAGTAAAGTGTAACCGTCAATGGCTACTGTCAAATGACTGGACACCAACAATTTCAACATTTTTGTGTGTGTTCATATAGGTTTGGAACAACATGAGAGTGAGGATGATGACAGAATTTTCATGTTTGGGTAAACTATCCCCTTAAATTGTAGTTTACACCATTACGTAGTCTGATATGTAAAAGTTTGACTTTGATGTAATGTTTTGCGGGGTCAAATACATTTTCCCAGTCTTAACCATTCACGTTTTTTGAGTTTAAGACAAATATACTTTATTTTAAGCAAGTCAGACACATTAAGAATTTCCAATATTTAAATGACAATTTAAGAATGCAAAAAAATTTTTAAACAAAACAAAACTCAGATATCAGTTCAGAATACTTTACATGTATTGTACTGGATTTTATCCAAATAAGATGATAATTAAGACCGAACTGCTTATAAAACCAAGACAAGTGCAGTAAAATAGTTTACAAGTTTACAATCAATTGCTATTACACAGACTTTTATATTTAATACAAATGCATGTACCCTTTTTCCTGGCAGAATTCAAACAAAATATGACAAATATAAAAAACTGAATATGGTATTACAGTTAAAGGGTGTAAAATCATTCTCTCTTTTTTACCCTTTTTGTATTTCTGACTGATTGCTATTACACAGACTTTTATATTTAATACAAATGCATGTACCCTTTTTCCTGGCAGAATTCAAACAAAATATGACAAATATAAAAAACTGAATATGGTATTACAGTTAAAGGGTGTAAAATCATTCTCTCTTTTTGAAGAAAACGAATGGAAATATTTATAATTTTGAGCAGATAATACAATATGCAATCATGACATGTCCAGTACTGATGACACTGTTTTTAAGTCATGATTTCTCATTGGCTAACGTAATCCACAATAATATTACATGGCAAGGCACTGGCTCAAATCAGCATTGTAAAACTCAGATTGCAATTTTCGTCAGATAGATCTCATTTCAAATGTAAAACTGTAGTGAAACAAACCATGTCAAACGTTCAAATACAATGAACCCTTTGTGCTCGTATAAGAAAATAAAACGTTCACAATTAAGCATTTGGACAAAACAGTCAGCACGAATCCTTCTAAACACTTAATTTGCCGCGGGGAAAGAGGCAATGAGGCGAAATCATCTCTATACATGATGGATCTGATATATCTCAGATATATAGAAGTCACTGCTACCTATTGACAGTTCGTGATCACAGTGTACTCGTTTGCTACGTGGTTGTTTACATCATTCAGTGATCATTATCATTCGTTTTTTTACAGAATGCTGGGCCGGGCAGTGGATGATTGGTTTTGAGAGACCACGCCCCCTTCAGGCTACTCTTACGCGAGGCTCCTCCTCTATCTCCTGACCCAGGCTCGTATAGGTCACCGAAGGCTCCAGGGGCCCCAAGGTGGGCGTGTCTGTGATAGCGTTTCCCACGTTGCGGAATTGTTTATAAACGCGAGGATCCTGTGCCACGTAGGTGGAGGAGGAGTAGTACAGGACCAGTCCCAGGATGACGATGATGAAGGACAGCAGGTAAAGGCCTGAAAACTGAAGACAGACAAACAACATAATGAAATTCATATAGTGTGTTTAAAGAGTGATTTAGAACTCAACATAATGATTTATTCGTTCCAAATAGAAAAATGATTTCAAATCATGATCTAGTCATTTTAAATCATAAAGTGAAAACTTAAAATTATAATTTACTACTTTTAATTAGAACAGTGATTTTAAACAGTAAAACTGTAAATAATTATTTATTCATTCAAAACAGAACACTGATTTGTACTATAAATCATAATTTTTTTTTCTTCAAATAGAATACTCATATAAAACTTTAAATCATAATTTACTATACTTTTGAATAGAACACTGATTTAAATAATGATTAGGAACACTGATTAAAATAATTATTAATTGATTTATTAATTCGAAATAAGATCACTGAATTAAAAATGTGAATAATGATTTATTAATTCTAAATAGAACACTGATTTAAAACCTTAAATAACAATTTACACTGATTTAAAAATGCAAATCATGATTAATTAATTCCAAACAGAACACTGATTTAATTTTTTTAAATAATTTACTTTTCTTTCAAATAGAACACTAATTTAAAACTGTAAATCATGATTTCTTCTTTCTAAATAGAACACGAATTTAAAACTTCAAATTTTACTTTAACTTTAAAAGTACTACTACAGAACACTGATCAGAAACTGTACATCATGATTTATTGTTTCTAAATAAATGTTTTAAAACTTAAAATCATAATTTACTACTCTTAAATACAACAAGGACTTCTAAATGATTTATTATAAATAGAACACTGATTTAAAACTGCAAATCATAATTTATTAATAATAAATCAAATCAATCCAAATCTGCATGCTGTTATTTGTTCTATGGAACACAAAAGAAGAGAAAAAAAACTTCAGAGTCACAGTCACAAGTGTCTGTATGGAACGGAGTTATTTAAAACACTCCTTTTGTTTTCCACAGACAAAATAGCAACATAACGATTGGAACAAAATGGGGGTGAGTAAATAATGACAGAATATTCATTTTTGAGCAGATGCTCCATACGGTCTAATGACAGCCATTGCAGACATTGTTTGCTCCTGTAAATATGTCACATTAGGGTCATATTTCGTTAATGAACATGAGGGAATCAGACGTGCAGGCCCAACAGGAGAGATTCTACCAAGAATTAACTAATGAGCAAAAGCAGCAGTTGTGTTAGAGATGGAGCGAAGCACGTACAGAGTAATGATTCACTCTCAGTGTGAGTCTACTGTTCAAGGCAGAAGGTCTGTGATTGTAATTATGATGGGATGGCATTAATAATTGAATAATGGTTTCAAATTTATGTTGTGAGACCAAAGGGCAAACATGTGCATTAATGTGATTTAATGTCATGGGAATGCTTAACTTAACTGAATGGGTCATGGAAGAACACATTTAATTTCCCAGAATGCTCTAATTTATCCCAAAGTCTTCAGCATGAAGCCAAATTACATGACAGGTTTAGGATGGAAGACGGAAATTCACACTCATCAACTGAAAGTGAGCCAGACCTTAAAATCTGAATTTAGTTTTTTGAATCTTAGAAAGTTGCTAAGAGGTTATTTTTACTAAAAAACTAAGACTAAACCTTAAAAGAAAAGTAAAAAAAAAAAAAAAAAAAACATAATGTAAAATAAAACTGCACCACTGACAATGCCATTTTGGAGCAGTGCATTATATTTTGCTCTGCATTATGGTCAAGCAGGGACTCAATACCCTTGTCAGCACTTTGAAAATAGCAACAACAATCACGACTTTGAAAACTGAAATGCCAAAGCTTCACTCTATTTGCTGTCACTCAATCTCCAAATCACATCAAGAGATTTTCATCCATAGGGTCTGAGGTGTGGATGAGCACAACAATCAGTTCTGGCAGATGAACAATGGCCTTTCAGCTCGATCATGGTCCATTTCTGAGCCACGTGCCGCCCATCTATAACAAAGGGCTTCCAATTACATGCGGTCTTCAGCTCTTGCCCATAAGAGCAGGATTCAGCTGAGTTAATAATTAAAAAAGAAACAAACAAACAAATACAAGCAAATCTGATGCATTAGGATTTTTAAGTTTCCTCAATAGCTTTACATTTTGTGCACTGCATGTTCAGCCCAATGTCATTTTAGTATCATTGAGATGCTATCTTTTATTAATCTTTTCTTTTATTAAAGTTTTTAATAAAGTTTTTATTGTATAAATTTTGCTGTTTTAAAATGTTACATATTACATTTTAGTAATATAGTTTAGTAATATAGTTGTGTGTATCTGTCATGTTTATTAATTTGTTATATATACAATATATATATATATATTTCAGAAAAATTTAATTTTTATATATTAAATATATTTATTTATAATATAAATTATATGAATATAAATATAGACATGTTCAAAATGTTTACTGTATGTGTGTGTATTTATATATACATAATAAATATACACAGAAAACACATATATTATGCAAACAAAAACATTTATTTTAGATGCGATTAATCTCAATTAATCGTTTGACAGCACTAATTATTATTATTAGTTTTTATACATTTTTACTTCGTGTTAGGGTACGTTTACACAACATCAATGTACTAAAAACTAAAAAGTTTTTTCTTTGCTTTTTTGAG